AAATATTTTGACTTCTGTTATGATTATTCAAACTCTTGACAATATTTAGATACAGCAAGTTGTAAGAAGTCGCTGAGTTGTTTCGCAATTTATGACAGCTAAAAATATTGAAAATTGTGTGAGGTACCACAAGGGGTTCGCAGATATATAGCATCTTCACAACAGATCTGTGTTAGCAAAAATGTTTGTATGTGAAATTTATAGAGAGTTGGATGCTTATTTGGCCTTCTTTGAGCGTTTTGTTTTTCAAAATCTTGAACAAGCAGCAAAAGAAATGGACCGATCTCTACCATCTTCATAACAGATATTGTGTTGGTGGAAATATTAAGATGTACGAAGTCTGGAATGGAATCATATGTTGATTTCGCTTTTTATGAGTTTCATGGATATTTGAGGCCTTGTGGAGGATTTACCAGAAGGAGAGGACCGACATATCCCATCTTCACAACAGATCTTGTGTTATTGGTAAAAATATTCAGATGTGCCAAGTTTAAATAGAATCGGATGTTAATTGCCCCCTTTTGTGTGGGAGGTACTAGAAGGAGTGGGCCGATATATTCCATCTTAATAACAGATCTTGGGTTCATAAAAATATTATATGTGTGAAATTTGAAGACAATCGGACTCTTACATCACATTGTATGAGAGTTGTAATTATTCAAAATTTTGACCATTTGTGGGAGAGACAATTGATGGAGTGGACAGATATTGTTCATTTTTGCACCTGACTTAGAACTGGCGTAAATATTAGGATTTTCAAAGTTAGAGCAAAATTTGAGTATTGTTTCCCTTTCTATGCAGGAAAAAAAATATATATATATATTTTTTTTTTTTTTTTTTTTTTGAAAGTTTAATAATGATGTAATTCATACATCACCGATATTGTCCATTTTCGCACCTGACCTAGCACTGACGCACATATAAAGATTTGCAAAGTTTGGGCAAAATCGAATTATCGTTTCTTTTTATGTGTAGAAAATATTTTTTTTTTTTTGAAAATTTCGACCAGAAGGTGGTGTACAAGAAGGAGTGGACCGATATATTCCATCTTATCACCAGACCTTGGGTTAATATAAATTTTGGGATGTGTGAAATTTGAAGTCAATCGGACTCCTACAACACATTTTATAAGAATTGTAATTATTCAAAATTTTGAACCTTTGTGGGGGAGGTACTTGATGGAGTGGTCCAATATTGCACATTTTCGCTCCTGAACTAGCGCCAACGCAAATATTAGGATTTGAAAAGTCGGAGCAATATCCGATTATCCTTTCCCTTTCTGTGCAGAAAATGTATTTTTTTTTAAATTTCGACTTTTTGTGGGGGAGGTACCAGAAGGAGTGGACCGATACATTCCATCTTCACAACAAACCTTGGGTCAGTAAAATTATTGGGATGTGTGAAATTTGAAGACAATCGGACTCTTAAATCGCATTTTCTAAGAGTTGTAATTATTCAAAAATTTTCCCCTTTGTGGGGGAGGTACCTTATGGAGCGGACCAATATTGTCCATTTTCGTACCTGACCTAGCACTGATGAAAATAATATAATTCGCAAAGTTGGAGCGAAATCGGATTATCCTTTCTCTTTCTATGCAATAAATTATTTTCTTTGAAAATGTTGACATTTTGTGTGGGAGGTACCAGAAAGAGTGGGCCGATATTGCCCATCTCCGAACTAGATCTAAGATTGACAACAATATTACGACTACCCAGTTTGGATCAAGATCAACCAGCCAGCCAGACAGATAAACGGACGGAGAGACGGACATCGCTAGATCGACTCCAAATGTCCTAAAACGAATTTGGTCCAAAGAAACCTAGGGTCTTAAACCGTTATTTCGATGAGGCACGTTTTGGCCGTATCAAATGACATATACCCTCTGTAGCCTTATGACTGAGAGTATAAAAAGTCAAAATAATGTCCTTGCTTTTTTCTGGTAATTTAACGCGTATCCAATCCAAGTGAAAATCTCCCTTTATAATTCATATTCTGCGGAAAGTATCAAAGTAAGAAAAGATAAAATAAAGATAGATAAAATTTCATTATGAGATCTTTAGATCACACGTAGAATTATTGGTACTATTTGGAATAGTCGCCTTGTAAGGACATTTTTTTTCAATTTAATTTCACCAAATTTTGCCATTTTGAGTTATTATTGTATAGAAAAGCTATTTACAAAAAAAAAAAAAACTATCAATATAGTTCCACCTTTTGGTCCAGCAGTTGTATAATGATACCCCTGATTTTGGCTATTTCGGTTAGTTATTTTTCAATCGATTTGGATTGAAATTGATTTTTTGGCACCTTTTGCCCAAATCGAAATCTTATGCCGAAAAAAATGGATCCCAAAACTTTGTAAATATTTTCTTCTATTTTTTTTTTGCATATTATTAAATTTGATAAAAAATATTTTTGTCTTTGACGTCATTTTTCTAAAACGATGTATTGTAAGAGATTTTTGCATAAACTCACATAAGGTACGGCATTAACCCTAAAATTATTTTTTTAATATATATGAATTCCTGGCGTTTAGGAAGCATTAAGACTCTTACGTTTTTTAAGACATATAATAAAATTTTATGGCAAATAATTTTGTAGAATACTTTGACTTGTTTAACCGTATTAAAAAAGAACCATTAAGGCCACTTTTTTAACTCGCTTGAGTGTTAAAATTTACTACGAAAATATTCCTCGTATATTTTTCTGCAATATTGTCGAAGGCAATAAATACCTAATATTCAGAAAAATCTTATTTCAATATGTGTCGAAGAGGGAAAATTTGTACCCTCTATTTTGTTTACTTTGCGAAGTAAACTTTCAAAACGCCGATATACGTGTCTCCTTCTTTTAGCTCTACTTTTATAATATGCTGAGTTTCCCTCGTATTTTATAATTTTTATAAATTGGTGTGGCACAGTGTAATCGATGCGTTTATTACAATTTATTTCCTTTTTTTGGATTTTGTAATCTTTTTATTCAATTGACAATTTCCTTGCATTTGGCCACCAATTATTCCTGAATACTTAAATTCCTTTCTACTGGACAGTTTACTTTTTGGTGATATGTATGCAAATACAAAGTTTAGTAGATATAGAAAACTACTTTAAAATTATTCTATGTAAACTGTTGTAAAAACAACATTTTGGTTGCCCAAATAGATTTGTTCATATCTATTTGGGCAACCAAAATGTTGTTTTTACAACAGTTTGCTACTGATATTCTATAAAATGAAACGAGACATCCTTCGGAGTCTGCAGCAAAATTTCTCTTTTAGTAGTTCTGCTCAAAATAATTTCCACTCAATTTGAATTAAATTTTATTGCCCTATTTGCGTTTTATTGATATATTCATATACACATTCGAACGTATGAGCGTTCGTTGACAATCGATTACTTTCTTCCAATAGACAAGCAATGCAAACAGAGAAAATGTAAAATAATGGGGGGCCTTCTTCATTCTTTCACTTCACCTTGTGATCAAAATCAAACATCGCCATTATAAAAACAAGAAGAAATAGCGGTGGCAGAGCCACGCTAGCAACATACAGGGGTTTTGTTTGTGTTATATTAGTACGACAACGACGACGTCGATGGTGATGATGATGACGACGACCACGACAACGAATGTCAAATGACCTCGTTTTAAGCCAACTTAAGTTAAAACAAAATTCAACGAGCAAAGAAAAAATAAGCAATAAAAACAATGAGACAAAAGCCGTCGCAGCAGCAGCAGCAAACACGAAGGCAACCGACCAGCACCCGAAGATGTTGCCGAAGAGGAATTTTTTCAAAAAAAAAAAAAAAAAGAAACAAACAAACATGATGGCGAAGACGCCAACGATGTTGTGAAAAAAAGACAAACAAAAATATTACAATAAAACAAACAATTGCTACGCCAATGTCTTCTCACAAAGGCCAACAATTGCATAAAATTTTAATTTCAAACTAAATGAAACGAAAAAACTTGGTCTAATAAATGACAGCTCACTCACTACTTCATCCATCCATACATACATACATACATAGATAGATACAAAGAATTTACCAAAAGTGAAACGGCAACAACGGATAAAGGCAGGCTGCATTGGCAGATGTCCTTGAATAACAAAAAAACAGGATACCAACACAAAAAGGAAACGTGTTTTTATATGGCCATAAGGAGGGAATGATTAATTGCCAACAAAAGGTCCCTACAGAGAAGTAGATCTCCGATGGGAGGGAGGGGCCACTCGCAAGGATATAACCTTTTGACAGAAAAATCAATTGAAAAGAAGAAAATATTTTAATTTTTATTTAACACCTATTTTCCTCTCTCCTTTAATTAAATCTTACACAAAAGAAAGTAATCCTTCAACTAAAAAAATTCTTAAAAAAAAGGAATAATATCGTTTGACTTTCTTGTTGAGGCATTTTTTTCTCATTTCTCAATGGAGTTTAATCGAATTAGTATAGGAAAAAAGCCACATTTATGGCTACTTAACTCAACAGCTGGGGCAATTGTATACATTGTGGACATGTGTTTGTTGTTGCTGCTGTTGTTTTGGAAATATAAGGAGAATAAGAGTGCCATAATACAATTAAAACGCACACACACCACTCGGCCGGCCCTCGGCTCGGCTGTATGGTATGGACCGAAGTCATTCAATGCTGAAGAGAATACAAAACGAAGCGCATTGCCGTAGTCGTCGTCAAGCGAGCGATGTGTTGTTGCTGTTTTTGTGTGTACCATAGTGATTTAGTGAGGGACCGCGAATGAAGAGTTTAGTTCTGTTTCCAACCCCGACGAAAGTGGGTTTACAAATCGCCGCGTTGTTTACATTGAAGGCACAGCAGAAAAGCAACAGCAAAAGAAACACACATACGGACAAAAACAACAAATGCTTTTGAGAATAATCAATTCCCAAGCAGACACACAGAGAGAAAGAGACCCGCACACAAACCAAAGACACAAGAGAAATGTTAGTAGATTTAAGAGTGTTTACATGGCTCTGTTAATGTCATAGAAAAAGAGAGGGAGAGCGGCGGCGGTGTCAGTTGTACGACGTTTGCTTGCTTATTTCTCGGTTTCTGTTTTATTATGTTGTGTGTTGTGTTTCCACACACAATTTGACAGATTTTGTTTTATTACGCGAGTTAACCAACGACAACACGACGACGTGCATATTTTCCAAAGCAAGTGAAAATTTTAGTTGAAAATTTCATTTAATTTGTTTTTCCTTGGTTGATTTTCACCATTGAATGGTAAATTTCTTTGTGGATAAAATGTAGAAACTAAAAAAAAAAAAACTTTTTTAAAGTATTGAATATATTTAAATGGAAAAATTTGCAAATTGCAAAAATTATTTTCGTTTTTTTTTTATATATTGTGTCGGTTTTCGTTCGTTTGCAATTTGTGTTAATGGCTCGCTGGCTAAATGATTGGAGTAAACAGCAAAGAAATGGAAACTTTGTTTTTACTAAAAAAAATTAACTTTCATGTGAATTTTCATATGTTTTCTATTGCAATTTGCAAGTGTTTGGCATTAGCGTCGTCGTCAACGTCTTGCCTAAGCATTTTGTATTATTATTTCTGGCTTTATCATTTATCGGATTTTCTTCAAGTCGTCCGTGCCGTGTTATATTTGTGAGCGTGTTTTGTGCATTTCATATTTACAGAGTTTCTTTGGTTACGTTCGTTTATTGTATATTTCCTCTTTATGCCTGCTTCGTTCGTGTTTTCTTTTTGATTATGGTCGCCATTTACGCGTTCAGCCGACCGACCGACCGATTGAAGACATCGTTAATTTCCGTTTTTGTTACGTTTCCTTTTCACATTAAATAGCAAAAAAAAAAAACAATAATAAAACAGAAAAGTTGATGATTCTTCGGCGTTGTCGCCGCCACCATCGTCTCTGTCGTCGTTAAGGCTTTGTAGTTATTGTTCTTTGGCCGTTTGTTATTTATTGTTTTTCGCTGCTTCAACTTGAAAATTGTATTCTTAAAAGAACATGGCCGTCACAAGTTATTGCGGTAAACAAATTTTGCTCTCCACTCTCCCTCTCAATGGTTTTGTTCAATTTGCCATTCAGTCTTGCTCTCTCACACAGATTCAGTGTTTTTGTTTTTGATAGAGAGGCTGTTGACTGACTGGCTCTGAGTTTAATGTTTTGTTACATTCTTCCTAAAAAATTGGAAATTTGTGAAAAATGTTTAATTGTAAAAAAAAATGTTTAATTGCAATTTTAAAGTGTTTTATTCATAAAAATTATGCATATTGTTGTTTCTTTGCCTTCTAGATATTATTTGCATATTTATAAGACGAAATTATAATTTCTAAAGTGAAAACAAATGCAAAATTTTATGCAAATTAACTGAGCAAGAAACTCCTAATAAAAAATATCAAGCCACAAGCCAAACTTAATGAAGATAACATAAGAAGAATCGAAAAAAATTGACAAAAAAAAAAAAAAGAAAAGAAAAGGAATAAAAAAACTAGATCAAAAAGGAAAATTGCAAGCAACAACAAAGCATCATCAACAATTCACCCTAGTAGTGCTAGTGTCACCATCAGCAACAGAATATTACACTAACAGTGGCCGCGCCATCATATTCGTCGCTGTTATTACAATAAATGTCAATTGCATACCTAACAGCATTTATTGTTTGTTGTGTGTGATTTTCATTTTTTGTTTTATTATTACACCGCCCCCTTGGAAATTCTTTACGTACGGCAGCTTAAACATCCAGCAGCTCAGTTCCCCCATAACCAACAAGTATCGATATACAGCAACACATTGATGGGTGTTCTTTGAAGCAGTGAAGAGAGGCAGGGAATCACAACTGTCAATCTGTGTTGCTGCAGCAGCAGCCGAAAAAAGCTTATGCTTCCATAAAACGCAATTCAGGATTACAATTAACGCTTCTTTTGAGTTTGACACAAGATATTGTTGACTGGCTTATATTTGCTTTAAAAAATGGTAAGTGTGGGTGTTTCCCAAAATGCTGTGCAGTAGGCTATTTTTTATTTAGATTTTATTCTGTTTGGAAAGCTACTAGCGAAGGTTATGCAATTGCATCCATATGTCAAGCTTGTTATTGTATGTGTGAGATTCTTATTGGAATCTTGAGAACATCCTATATTGGGTTTTAAGGAGATTTATCTCTTTTGCAAACCTATCGGTTTTAAACTTTTTTTAGTAAATAGACATTTGGCTAGTATTTTAGTGAAAACTCGAAAAGTTTTAAATTTTTTGGAGGTAGATATTTTCCCTTGATTACGGGAAAGTGTTTACTTGTTGGTGGACGGAATCCAAAATCTGGGTTCAAGCCTCGGGTTAGACACAGATTTACCTGATATGTGGAATATTGGTATTATTTGAAAGCTAATGATAAGAGTTTTCGATAATAATTACGTTTTTTAGGCCCGAAGTTTTATTCATTAAGTTCATGCATTTTTTCTGTGCCAAGATTGGGAAATTGAAAGTTCCAAATGCCTACGTGGTTATAATCAGGAAATCGAAACCATATAGAGTTTGGCCGGTACAACTCATCCGTGTCGCAATCCAATTTTTAGATTTGCGGCCTTCGCCGGTTTGTACAACGTCCACGATTTTCTAAGTCCTCGTGCGCTATGGAAGTTTATTTATTCAAAAATAGCATATCTGAAAATCTTAAAAAAGTCTCCATGTATGCAAAATTTATAAAAAATGCTGTCTAGATTTTAAGAGTTTTCTAAATAATATAGTTTTCAATGGCCATTTGATGATGCATCCAACAAGTGGTACTGAGTTAGAGTATTCTGTTTCCATTCCATGGTAACAGTAGTTTGGAATCACAATTGAAACAGTCTTAAATATATCTCATTTAGGTGACATCCTGCAATAATATTTGGTATTCGTAAGATCTCACATAAATTCTATCTTATAGCTTAAACATGAAACACAAAATAAGTCAAAGAAAACGATGGAGAATTTTTGGCAACTTTCGTTTCAAAAGACCACTTCCACAAATTTAGATTCAACATCACAGTTGGATCCTAAATGGCGCTGCGTCCTTATCTATTGCAAAGATGTAAATATTAGGGGCTTAAATCAGTTTAATCGGGACTATTATTTTATAAATAGAACTGCGATTTGTTATAAGACAGGCTGTGAAACCATCCAGTCAACAATCCAGAAAATCCCTCACATTTAATTATTATATTTTGAGAACGCTGTGTATGTGCAAACATCACCACATAATTTCATTAGAAAATCTCGCAATAGACCTCAAAGTCATCGAGGCAATGGGCCTTAAATGTATCAAGTCATACACTGAATTTTCTGTATAACTTTATAGAAGAAGCCTTATATGACTACAGGACATTTGCTCAAAACTACTTTTCGTTAAGGACTACTACTTTCTGCTTGATTGTACGTATTTTTCCCTTCCTCCGCACATTCACAGTTTTAAAGAATGGAGTCAATAAAGAAAATGACGAATTATCTACACAGACATTAATTATGAATAACTAAATAAGTTGATACAATGATGGATACTTAAAATCTTAAAATATTCTATCACAGATGTTGGGAAGGGGAAGTGAAGTATTATCGTGGGTGAAGAAAATAAAATAAAAAAAGAAAACTAAATTTATTCTGGTAAAGGTAGGTTGATACTCAACACAAAAATATATTCTTTCTCTTTAAAATATTATAAAAAAGTAAGGACAGATTGGTCCGGATTTCATTCGAAATTTGAGACTATCACTAAACTAACTGATCTAGAATTTTTTAAAACTATTTTTAATATTTTATTGACCTGCATTTTTTTTATATAACTCGTAAAACAGTTCTTCTCAAAATTAACAATCCACTTTTAACCAATAGCACACACATTTATAAAGGGCCTGTTTCTGTATGACTATATGAAAGTGTATGCAAATTGAAAACACAATTCCAAATAAGTTGTTCATATTTTTTTTAATTTAAATTCGGACCAACGTTACTTAAAGTTTTCTTCGTTTTTTTATTTTTTTTTTATTTTGAAGCTAACATATTATCTGTTGCTCTGAACAAAAAAAAAAAAACATCACTTTTTCCTCAATTATGAAAATAACTATCGAAAAAGGTAAAATGCCCTTACTCACAACACACATACCATCAAATGAGGCTGGGAAACCCCTCGTTTGTTGCCACGGCCTACCCCTATTTGTTTCTTATTATGTTTTTTATCTTGTTTTGAGTTTCCTTATTTTTATACTTCATTTTCACACACTCAGGAAAAATGGTGGTAGAAACAGGAGCCAAAACACAACAGCATCTGTTGAAAAACCTGACCTACCAAATCAACAATGTATTGTTGAATGATTTTGGTCACAACCCTAGACATTTCTGTTTGTCGCAATGTGAGAGACAGTGTGTGCTTTTCTCGATTGTTTTCTTTTTTCCTATGTACAAAAAAAAGAGATAATGTGTGAAATGTTTGGAAGATTGTTTTTCATCAGCATGTACACAGTAAAGCGAGTTGGTACTTTGGTGCGTATACGTATTGCAGAGTTTCCCAATGTGTTGCTGGCGATGAATTGGCCATGACAATGCATGACAACACTGTTGCACTCAAAGAAATTTGTATATTTTGTCAAACATGGGAATCTCAAATAGTTGAAGGTTGTTTTATTTAATTATTATTATGTATATAATTATTAATATGTAGGTTCTGGAACATAGCTTATGTGCAAAATTTACCTAAAATTCGACGTACTCAGTCGACGTTTTTCACCACACAATTCAAACATATGTATTTATCTGGAAGTTACCCAAATGCGTCGTGCTTACAACATTTCAACATCAAACTTTTTCAATATTAACATTTGAATTTTTTTTATTGAAAATATAAATGAAAATGCTAATCCGGACCGCGATGCTGCTCCATAGTATTAGTCTTTAAAGTTTTTTTTTGGGAACCTAATATAATTTGTAAACGTTTACCTTTGCTCTTTGAAAAAGTTGACTTACAACGGCAGTCAATCTATACATTTACCAGTTTTCATAGTTTAAGGTTATTGATGTTTTCCTTATTTTGTGGTTTATTGTTGTATTCCTTTGAATACAGTTATTTAAGGTGCATAATATTTATGATGAATAAAGGTAATTTTGCATATTCACTTGTATATATATTTCTTTTTTTTTCGTCCTCAATAGTAATTTCTAAATTAAAGTAGACACTCACTGCAAAAATGTCAATGTAGATTTACGTAACGGTATATTTTAATGTTTCTAATTCTCTGGCTACATGGATTTAATTGAACTATCAAAAATAAGGTGTCATCGGTTTATAAATGTTAGGGACACCATAAAGTATGCCAAATATTAGAAATCTTAGTCGATTAAATTATGCTATACAAGGTATATATTTATCCTCATTTAGATATAGCTCTCATACAATAATATCTCCTAATATTCTTCGACCAAATGTGTTCTAATTTGACATTTGATGAGTTCAGTACAATTAATTCTTGTTTTTCTTAATACTGGTTTCACCCATATAACCTGCCGATTTGAGTTATTTTAAAGGATTTTCAAGGTTATAAATCCTTTGTCAATAAAAGTCATATTTATGATTTTATTTCCTATTTACAAGTACCGCTTTATACTCGTTATATCATCGTATTTAATACATTTTCAAACTTCAATTATTGGTATTATATAAAGGTCTTAGCAACATTTTCCAAATTAAAAGTAATTTTGAATTCATAACTTTTAGGACCATGTTGAACGGGTATTTAGTTTTGTCAACCTCATTTATTCTAGATCAGGATTAAAACCTGTAAACCACATATTAAAGCGCATTATTTGGGATAATCTATGAATCTCGTTTTGGTTTAATACTACCTTTAAGAATTAGTCCTTTTGCATGTTTTGTTACAATTTCTACCGAATGAATTGTAATTTGATATTTCAAGTTTTCAGTGTTGTGAAATCTATACCGTCAATAACTGTTTAACTGAATTTCCATTAGGCATAGCTGCAATTTAAAAGTACGTGTTTCGTTGCTTTGAGAAGTATTTTGTAAACGATCTCAAATCAATAAGAATTTTCAATTTCAATGGCCTCTCTTTTCAATTTCAAGTCTACACAAAATTCCATATCAAAAAACATCTTTCGATTTTTTCAGTTTCGCGACTTTTTTTAGAGGTTTTTCCTCCTAATTTTCTTTCGTATAACCTTTCCATTGTAATTACAAATGAACGGAAGTCAAATCGGCCCAGCCGTGTTTAATTGATGTGTTACTAGACTTTCAAACATAATCTTCTTTATTTTGTCAAATATAAAGATTTTAAGTAAATCGCAAAAAAGGATGTTGTTAATTTTTATTTGCATAAAAACATGTTGCAGTTACTTTTGTCTCTGGGCAATTCGTTACTTTGTAAATAATAAAATTGTTTTTATACTTTTTTTCAACATGCAGTTGCACCTAACGAGACTTATAGGAAGATAAAATGCAATACATCTTGTTTTTCAAAAACAATCTCTTAAGTATCCTTCGCTTAGGTAACTGAAGGTGATGACGAAAGCGACACGCACACACTTTTAAGGGGGTAACGACAACACCGATTATTACAGGCTCTGTCAAGGCGAGTAGGAAACTGAAACGATGAAACTTACTTCGACACTGTCCAACTGTTTTCGGTGTTAGACATAGGCTTATGGGGAAGCAAATTATGCAGTACTTGCTTTCATTCAGTCCAGCAGTCATTCTCAAATTATGCAGTACTTGCTTTCATTCAGTCCAGCAGTCATTCTCCACTTGGCCACAAAACTAAAAACACAATTTTTTTTAAACAATAATCTCTTGAACTTATGGCTTCGCATTTTGGGTTTTTAGAAAATAAAATGTTTGTCTTCAAACATTTTAATGCTTCATTATTTAACCATTTTGTAGATATTTTTCATTTTGTGCACAGGGACGAATGATTTTCTTTATTTAAAAATTTTAATTTAAATTATGTGAAAAATCCAAGGGATTATAAAAGTAGAGTTAAACAAGTAAGCAAAGGCTACAGTCGAGCGGGGCCGACCGTTGAATACCCTACAACACTATAATAAACGATACAGTTTATATAGGCGAGATACTCGAAAGAATTCCACAAGATATTGTGACAAATAATAAAAGAAAACCATCAGGTTTCGTTCTCTAATTTTCGAATGGTCTTCCTAGATCTGGAACCAATACTTCCCAAAGAACTATAATCTCTCAGAAGTGGCAGGACATTGTGAAGAAGTGAGTGACATTTATTAATGGTTTTTGACTGAAATGCATCTATATGAGATACATACATTTGACTATATTCTTCAATGAAATCAGCGTTAACGAAATAGTCAGAAGTGCGGCTTTCCAGTATTTGTGAATTCTCCAAAAAGTCACTGGAATGGACATTTTCTTATTTTGTCTATAAAAGTTGGCAAACTATTTCAAACATTGAATATTTTTGGATGGCCATCCAAAACTGCTTGTCTTTTGCAATGTTCGGTAACCCCCATTCAAATATGCGTGAGGATCGGGCGACAATTACGACCTGCTCACAATTTTGCAGTTTTTTGGTCCATTTCAACTCCGAAATATATGGCGATCATCTCCAAAAAGAGTAGGCTTATATTCTGACCCTCATCTTATCCCCATGCAATATTTCGTAAGGATCGGGCCATAAATGCGATCTGTTTATGATATCCTGCTATCCTACCTACTTAGTTTTGTTAGCTGCAGAAATATTACCAAATGTTTAATTCAAAATGAAAATATGCCAAAAATATGACAAAATTTAAAAAATATGAGAAAATGTTACAAAATCAATATTTTTATCGTTAGAGGGATATTTTTATGCGATTTTTTAGACGTTTTTTCTTTCCTGCCAAGAAGCCATTCTGAATTAATTAGAACTGTCGAAATCAGTTCAGCAGTTTTCGACATATAAGAGATCTTTCAAGCATATCTTCTTTGATAGACATATATATCGCACATATTTTGCTATATATCCCAATTTTTGGATGTTAACATCAATGTAAAGGTTAGAACTAACCTTGTCATGGCTTCGTGATTTCGCCGGGATTTAAAATATTCACGGTTTAATGAAAAATGTTGAATTTTTTCAACACAAAAGATATGGTCTATTTTACCCGCTAAATATTATCCGATGACCACCCTAATTGGTAGGCTTCTTCCCCGCCCTAAACTCTAGCTACATACGAAATTCCGCGTCGATTGGTCTATAATTGCGACCTGTATATTTATTTCAGTATTCGATATTTTTTCAGTACTTGGTCCATTTCAACCCCTAAACAATTAGCGATCATCTCCAAAATAAATAGGCTTCTATTCTGACCCTAACCCCATCTCCATTTTAAATTTCGTGAAGATCGGACCATAATTGCGACCTGTAGAGTGATTACAAATTAACATGGACAGACGGACGGTCGGACATACATAGCTAGATCGACTCAGCTCGGCGAGCTAGGAAGATCTAAATATACTTTCCTATATGGGAAACCAATATTTCGAGGTGTTACATAAATTCTGGCCCAAACCGACTAATTTTTCTGTAACATTCATTATTGGTTAGTTCTTAAAAATTAACAAATGATCAGCTTTTGACATTTACATTTGACGATTTTCTCCTTGAAAGCAGTTCTACGAAAGGGACATGTACACTCCATATGAATTATGAATTGTAAAATCAAATGATAGAAACTCAGGTCAACAGATTAATTCCAATAAGTTTGTTCGAAGTATGTATAAAGGACCCAAAAATATATGATTTGCTTTATATCGGAAGGGATGTCTACTTACCTCCCTCCGTTGGTCATATTGTTTTAATTCTTTCTTATTCATTGATTATGCTGGAAAACGCGAAAACCTTGTTCTGTTTGAAAGTTTGTCTTAATTATGTTTTAAAAATAAAAATTTGAAAAACCGAAGTTTGTGGAAATGGGTGCTAAGATTCAGAAGAAAATAATTACTTCTACAGAGTAGTCTTTTCGGTTTATATGTCCAATAGAAAGACATTTTTTATAGCCTGAAAACCCCAAAATGTCCTTTAGTTTCAAGAATAGAATTCCGACACAAAGCCAAACTGACCCACAAAAACATTTTGTGGCACGAACAGAGATTCTTACCAATAGTCTTAACTTTATGCATACAGCGTTTGAATATGTCAAAAAGCTGGCGCTGGCCTCAAACACACACACACACTTTTCCAACTTCATCTTGTTCTTTGCATTACCAACTCTAAAGAACACAAACTCCATGGTCGAGTGACAATATAGACAACAAACTCTCACACCAAAAACCGGTTTCAAGGAGTTTGTTTTAGCACATAAAACCAAGAAAAATATAAAGCAAAGCATAAAAGCTAAAAGAGCAAACAAGCAACAGCTAGAAGAAACACATGCTTCGTTTTTTTGTTTTTCTGATCCAACCATCATCATCGTCATCCATCTATTCACAATGCATACAGCAGCAGACATATCAGCAGCATCCAACTTTCAATATATCTTCATAATGTGCTACATCCAACAACCAAGTGTTGCGTTTCACCGCTGTGCATGGGGTTGAGTGTAGTTGTGTATGCTATCAATGACTTTATATTTGAGCTTAAAAGTCTACCCTACTGAGGAGTAACCAACAAAAGAACTTACTGCATAGTTACAGTATTAGCTGTCATCACCAAGCTTTAAATACAGCTATCTGATTCAGATTTGTTGTTGACCAAAGAAATGAAAATACAAGGGATACTAATTTGCTAAGTAAAGGAAATCTTTGGAGGGAGGGTACATTTTTACATCTATGCATGCACAATGTTTCGATAATTTGATTAATATTTACCCTTTTATCTTTTTTCCAGTTGACGTAATGGGAAAACAAAGGGACCAATCTGTATTTTATTGATCCGAGATTTTCGGTAACTGAACACATTGAGAACATCTCATACACCGTTTGTGGGCGACACCGCTTATATATTTTTGGACCATGTCAACACGGAAATCGACAACAGCCACTTCGACAGTTCAAGGGACGAAGGCAGAAAATGCCACAACGACGACAGCATCATCAGGAACGGGAACAAAATCGCTGGACACTAAAACAATTAACACCACAAATACACAGAATACAACAAATACAACAACTGCATCAAAACAGGAAACGACGACAGGAGGAGGAGCTGGCACCGCAGCTTCAGTAGAAAAGAGTGGAAACGAAAATTCTGTTGAAACAAAAACTTTCCAACAACGGGTAACAAGAAATTCGCCCCTCTTATTGCATTCTCCGGGCTCTTCTGTGGTAATAAAAAAGGAACCATTAGATCCCTCGGATCCCACAAACAGTGAAAGTGAAGAAAGTAGTTCCTCGCATGCAGGAAAGAAACAGAATATAATAAGAGGCAGGAAGTCCATCAAAGATCATAAAGAAGCTAAGGAACAACAGGAAAAAGAAAAAGAGACAAAAGAAGAAAAGAAATCTGACTTGGCGGACACCAAGGACAAAGAGGACAAGTCTAAGGAAAAGCAAGAGAAGAAAGATTCAGGGGAATGTAAAGAAACCCCAAAAGACCAAAAAGATACAAAGGACCAAAAGGAACCGACAACAACAACAACAAAAGAGTCTTCTTCTGCTACCAACAACACCACCAGTAATCGCTCTACTCGCAAGTCAACGGCCAGCCAGGAAAATTTAACAACTTCCTCGTCCCGCATAACACGACAACGACAAACAACGGCCACCGGCGGAGTCACCACACGTTCCGAGACTCCTCCGGCAACACGTGCTGGAAGTAGAAGTCGCACTTCAAATCGTGTAAAAATGCCACTACCCATAATAGAGCCCGCTACCACAGTTACAAAACGTAAACGCTCCGTCGATGCTGAAATGACTGCCACCAATGCCCGCAAGGCATCGAGTGATGAACCCGGACCAAAATACATTAAAATTGAAGTACGTGATCCCGAAATAGACGGTGATGAACCCATGCAGGCTTCTCAAACAACCACTGCCAGTAACGAGAGCAATGATGATACTCCAATACTCGACAACATAAAAATCAAAGAAGAAATCATGGATGAGGATGAAATTAATGTGGCGACCTCGGACTCTACCACACCCACAACAACTACAGATAGTGCAGTAACAGCATCTGCCACATCCAACAATACACGTGGTAAGGGTCGTTGGGCTTCGCGTAAGTCCAATACTGGGGCCACCACCAACCCCACTGCATCAGCCAATTCTAACGCCGCCTCGCCTTCGACCAGAGCGACTAGGCAAACCAAACAAAATTCGCCAACAAGAACAAGCGGCACAGTTTCTGAGCCCAAGAGAAGACGTGTGACCTCTCAAAACAGAAGCCTTCTCAAAACCAATCAATCAAAAGGCAGCAACACCGTTAATGCTGACGAAGAAGAAGATTCCAAAGACAGCATGGCATCATCTACGAACACAGATGATATAGTATTGTCTCAAATAAAAACGGAAAAATCTAACTTGGAATCAGAAGAATTCATAGCTGTTAACGAAGAAGAAAGCAAAGACGATGCGTCGGTGATCAAGCCCAACGATAAATCCAATACCACTGAAGATGTGAATAGTAAATCTAAAGACACTGTTGCTGTGACCGTTGATTTGCCTACTCCTCTTACGGTCGATACCGAATCTGTACACACTGAAAGCGCGGAGGCACAAACAACTATAGTATTGACCCCTGTGACAACAAGTTCTCCACAATCGGTGGCTTCTGGCTCCGAAAAAGCAGCATCCTTAAGTCCTGCCGACTTGGTAAGCGAAGGTGTGTCGGAAATAAGTGTACAGCAGTTTTACAAAAAACCTAAGTTTTTGGAAAACAATTTGGGCATTGAAGAAGATCCTAAGTTGGGTAACATTGTTCAAAAAGCGGTAAACCAGGAGGCGGGTGCCACAACATCAGCTACTAGCACTGCCACAACCGCAGCCAACGTAAGTGCCGTGTCAAAGGTTAATGATGACCGTGTGCCTGAAGATTCCTACTCCAATGAATCGATGAAGGAAGGCACGTTACGTTTTGACGAAAGTGTAGATGAGCGGAAGTCTATTTGTCAAGAGGATGGAAATAGTCAAAGCTCCGATGATAAACTTACACCGCTTGTTGTTGAGGATGATGATGAAGATGAAGCACCCGTGGAGGAGTTGGAAGGAGATGAAGTTTTGCTGATTGATCCAAAGGCAAGAGTAGAAGATGAAACTGAAGATATTAACTTATCAGATTGCGGGGATAACCACACAGACTTGACAATCGTTGATAAAACCGAAGTCACAGGTGATTTAAACAAATCCAACAGCAACGTTGCTACCTTAGCTGATGAAGAACAAGAAGAAGATGAGCTGACGATGGAGGAAAGTGAAACTATTTCCATGGACAATAATGCCTCCGTGAATGATGATATTACCAATGAAATTGAAGAAGATGTTGATAATGATGAAGATATCCCAGCCGAAATCGATGATATTGAAATAGCACCAACAGCGGCAGACACTTTAGACAACAAAGCTGAATCTGAGTTGAGTGCACCGCTAGTGCTTACCGAAGAATCGCAATCTTCCAGCGATCATTTAGTCATTGATGACAAAGAAAATATTGAAATTTCAACTGATGACGCTGTTGTGGATGAAAATAAGGATGTGCTGGCTAAAATTGATGCCGAACTTAAGAAAATTGATGAACGCCACAAGGAAAAGTTGAATGCCGCTCAAATTGCAGACAAATTAATTGTGCCAGTTGAAGTTACAGCCGGATCCGAAGAAACAACGGTGACCATAAAGGAAAATACTATTGAAAAACCAGAGCCAGCAATTTCACCATTGGACACAGTGTCCATGGATGTTGATGACGTCATAAATGATATTAAAATAACTGCCGAAGATGGTAAAATCAATTCAAATGATGCCGATATTGCAGATTTGGAATTAAAACTTGATGATGAGAGCACTTCATTACTAATCGACGACATTAAAATAAATGAAAATGCCAAAGTGATCGAAGAAGCTGTAGATGCTGTAGAGATGAAGAAAACCCATGAGGCCGAGAAGTTTAGCAAGATCGAGGAAAGCGTGATTCCCGAAGAAAAGACTGAAAAGATAGAAAATGAGGATGAAAAGACTTCGCTTGAGAAATTCGAAGAGAAGCCAAAAGTTGAAGTTGAGGTAAGTTAATTATAGATAGTGCAAAACTTATAATATATTTTCAATGCAATTTTAGGTTCCTATTGAATCAATTCTGCCAGACGATGGCCCCTTCAACGTCAACAATATTGAAACAGCAGATGTTAAATCTATCCCCTTAACAAAAGATGATGATGCCACATCCATGAAATCGGGCCAATCAACCAATTCTTGGATGACCCTAGATTTCGAGAATGACGATGAAGAGTCGTTGAGGAAAAAAGAATTGCATTTGCAAAATCTGGGCTTGGTAACTCATAAAGCTGCCGAAAAACGCCGTCTCGAGGTCATACAAAGCTCTGCAGCGGCCGTTGAAGCCAACAGAGCTGCCAACCAGCAACACGGCAGTAACAAAAGAAATGGTAAAAACTCATCTCATGCTGCATCCACCCATCACGAGTATACTGGTACATTGAAAACAATCATCAAACTTAATCGTAATTCAACAGGTGGTTCTACTAGTGGCAATAATGGTCGCAAGTCCAATGCCGCCGGTGGAACATCATCATCGTCGTCGTCTTCGGCCGCCAACAAAGAACAGCAACAGAGACGTCAATCACTAAAAATGACATTCCAAAAGAGTCGGGGACGTGGCCATGGCTCGGGCTACAGCGATCGTACGCCGCACGACCGTGAAGGTCATGGCGAGGATAATTATTATACCATACAAAATGAGGTAATATTTGTGCTGATCGCGAAAGTTGACACATTTTAATGGGGATTTGTTTTCTTATTTCTTTTATTTGCAGACTGAAGGTGCGCTTCACAAATTACATTCAAAAACCACAACCTGTACTACTACCTCCAATACTAGATTAGCTTTAAACCAAATTAACAATAACAGTAAAACTACTACTACTACTACTAACAATACTAGTTGCAATTCCTTCTCCAACACTAATTCTACGTACGCTAGAAAATCATACAATTACCGTCACTCCAACCATCATCAGTATAACAAATTTAGTGCCCATTCACAAAAAATGGGTGTGTATTTTAGTGTTTGTGTGTGGTGTTTGTAACATAACCCTGGGTCCATAATAATGTAAAAAAAAAATTATTTACTTTTTTATTTTTTTGGTGTCGAATCTCAGGAATATGTCTGTTTCTTTGTTTCTATTTTAGATTTGAATTTTCTCTACTAACAGCTAACAATGTAAAGACTTTGATGAAACACATATACCAGTTATGAAAAATTATCATTAAGTTGAAGTGAAAATCTGATTACAGACTTTTGCACTCAAGGCAATACATCATCAAATTCTTTACGTACCATTACAATTTTGATTATGTTCAAAAGAACAACCTAATTTGCAATATAATCCCCGAATTCGCCTGACCACCACCCTTCATTGTTTTCTTTTCTTTTTTGTAAATATCTATGTGTGTGTGTGTTCTTAACTCTATGGTATACATTTCTCAATATAGATTCTTCCCATTCAGAATCACACGATCACCAGTCCACAACATCAGGCATTTCCACCAAGAAGGATGATAAGGAAAAAATACTCATACCCGAAAAGGCATCATCCTTTAAATTTCATCCCGGACGATTGTGCGAAGATCAATGTTTTTATTGTAGTGGTAAATTTGGGCTTTATGATACTCCCTGTCATGTGGGTCAGATAAAGTCGATGGAAAGACAACAGAAAATATTGGCAAGTAAGTTAATGGGTAAAAGATTAACTCGCATTTCTTCCATGAAATTCTCCTATTTGTTTTTTTTTTTTTGTTTTTTTTTCAGATGAAGAAAAACTTACTGTCGATAATTGCCTTTGTGATGCCTGCTTCCGTCATGTGGATCGTCGTGCAAACGTACCGTCGTATAAGAAACGTCTATCAGCACCCGGTGGCTTGGAAACAACTTCGAATGGCGTGAAATCTGCTGATAACCAACAGGACTATGACCAAAATGAATCTGAAGCTGCTGTTGCCGAACATTATGCCTCAGCATCTTCACACAGCTGTTTGGTAACAGGATGCTCAAATCCAGCCGCACACTCCTTGCGCCGTAAATGCATACGCAAGAGTGTTAAGAAGTTCTTGTTGAAGTTTGAGGTTCCAACAAACTCACCATGCATTTGGTTGTGTCAAACACACTACGATACTGTGATCCAATGTTCGGGTTGTGTTTTGTGTAAGCGTCGTTTGGGTAAAAACCACATGTATCACATCACCTCGGACACGGATCGTCTCGAGAAGGCTTTAACGGAAATGGGCATTCCCGTGCAACTGGGCATCGGCACAGCTGTTTGTAAATTATGTCGTTATTTTGCCAATCTCCTAATGAAACCTCCGGATACAACAAAATCTCAGAAGGCCGAATTTATTAAAAACTACCGAAAGCGGTTGGTATTGCACTCCTCTGACTTTGCAGCTCCTATCACAACCCACTCATTTGTTTTTCTTTTCTTTTCAGTCTGTTGCAATTCCATAACATACATGATGGCAGTAACGATGCCTCTGAAGCTGATGAGGACGACAATAGCAATGGTCCCACACCCAACAATGAGAACACTGAATCACATCAACAACAACAAAAGCAACACCATGATGAAACAGCCCAAAAATCTCCGCTGCCTGAAGATGATGGTTCTTCGAATCAAAAGGATCTCCTGTCGCCTCTAAATTCTTCACATTCCGGAGAGGATGAATCGGCAAAAGGCAATGCCAGTGTGCGAGAGAGTACTAGCGAGGCAATGGATCGTGAATTCGAGAATGCATTAATGGATTCTTCAAACTCATCGACATCAAACGCAGCTGACAATTCGCCAAGCGAAATGTCTAAATTGAAAGCCATCCTGCAGAGTAATAGTTTGCCTGTGGAGAAAGCGGCCAGCACAAACAACAGTTCATCCTCTTCCTCCTCCGACATCTCAAATGTTTTGAGAGCAAATCCCAACATTTCAATGCGAGAATTATTCCCTGGTGAGGAAGATTTGGGTTTACAGTTCAAAGTTCCATTTGGCAGTAGCGCCAGCCAAAGAACTCCCGAGGGCTGGACAAGAGTACAAACATTTTTACAATACGACGAGCCTACACGACGGCTTTGGGAAGAGTTACAAAAGCCTTATGGCAATCAAAGCTCTTTTCTTCGCCATCTAATTTTGTTGGAAAAATACTTCAGGAATGGTGATTTGATTTTATCCGCTAGTGCATCAAGCAATGCTAGCGTTTATACGCAAACCGTTCGACAAAGGTTGACGTCTTATGATAAGGGTCATTGTGGAGGACTTCACCAAGAGGTTCCCTCAGATAATTCATCCACAAGTACTGCCAAGGAAACCAGCAACAAACCTAAAGAACCCGAACCACAAATTCCCACCTTCGAAATCAACGAAGACGATGATGACGACGACGACGTTGAAATCACAGAGGTGTCCAAACTTCCGAAATCGCTACAGTGCAGTAATAACAACAGTCCAGATAAACAAGTTTCGCGCTCAAGAAGTCTTTCGGTAGACAAACTCACTAAGCAATTGAGTACCAATGCTGTAACAATTACGGCACGTCCCAAGGATGGGTCAAGCAATAAGCGCACTCCCACTCCATCGCCTCAGAAATCATTGCTTAAAGACACTCTAGCAGGAAATACAAATAACAACGGCAGTTCGAACGCTGCAAATCTAGCTGCAGCCAACGCAGCAGCAGCTGTTGCTCTGGCTGCCTCTACGGCAAGCTCTGGTGCCCCAAGCAACAGCCGAAGTATTTTGAAATGTAACCTCCTGGGAATTAATAAGGCAGTTGAGATTTTACCCATCAACAACTCAGCTACATCGTCTGCTGCTGCATCCCAGCCAAACAAAACTGGTAGCAATTCCACATCACACCCCGCCCCACCACCTCCTCCTCCGCCAATGGAATCAAAACAACAGAAGATACTAGATGTGGCTAACAAATTACTGGGCAATCAGATGGATAATAACTCCTCTGCTGCAAATAAAAATGCTATTTCTTTGCTCAGTTCTCCACCGGAATTGGTTAGTCTTCAAAGGAGATCTGCTGGTCCAATAATGACTTCGGCACCGGCTGCTGCGCCTGCGCCTCCTGCCCCTTCGGGTGTGAACCCTAATGCTAGCTCAAGTAATAATAGCAATACCAACAAACGGCCTCAATTGAATAAGCCCGGAACATCAAGGCCACCTCCGAATGTAGTTGTTTTGCCAGACACATTGACACCACAGGAGCGGTTGCAAAGTAAAACGTGGCGCCCAACCTTGATGCCGGTGGAAGAGAACCTGAGTATGCTTAAGAATGGGCCGCTCTATCAGACGGCAGATGGCAGGAAATTGCCAGCCCTGGTTCAAGTGCAGTCGGGTGGTAAACCCTTCCTTATCTCCATATTCGACTATAATCGTATGTGTATTTTAAGACGAGAAAAGTTGTTACGGGATCAGATGCTGAAGGCCACTAAAAAGAGGCAAGAAGCCAAACAACAGCAACAGCAGCAGCATCAACAACAGCAACATCAACAGCAGCAACAACAACAGCAGCAGCAGCAACAAATGCATCAACAACAGCAACAACAATTGCAACAACATTTACAAAATAAAAATCTGCAAAACATGAACAAGAATTTCAATTCCACGAATGCAGCTGCTGCAGCAATGAATCAACAAAGGCAACAACAACAACAGCAGCAGCATCATCAACAGCAACAACAACATCAACAACAAGTTACCCAGCAGCAGTTATTACAACTGCAAATGCTGCAACAGCAAGCGTTAATGAAAGCCGCCGCTGCCAACAACAACCAAACAACCAATTCGCAAGCGGTAGCACGATTTCAAGCGATGACTCAGAAACAAACCCCCACAAGCAATATCTCCACCATACCACCACTACAAGCCTCCATTAATAGCAATGCCAATTTCTCTGCCCCCATAATGCCTCTGTTGGCCAATGCCATAACAAATGCAACCAACAGCAGCAACATTAATCCTGCCTCCAATTCCATGAACAATACCTCCTGGCTGTGGAATAATTTCCCCGACTCCAATCAGCTGCTACTTAATGGAGCTTGTGGTGGAAGCGGTGGTGTTGGAAATGCGGGCGGCGGTAACGGTGGTCCCTCCAATATGATGCCAAAACTACCGCAACTTCTAGCGAAACCAAATCATCCCAGTAATCCCGCCTCATTAGCTGCCCCGAATCACATCATGAAACAGCATCAACAACAGCAACAACAATTGCTGCTCTCAAAAATTCCAAAATCTCTGACAGTTATACCACAACATAAGCTAATGAATCAGGCAACGGCTACAGCGGGTGCCAATGTTGCTGGAAACTCATTAAAGGAGTGATGATTATTGAATTGTTATCGGGCGGTAAAGCGTCGTAAAAGGCTTCAGAAGAAACACCTAAAAGGAAACCGAAGGGCTTGCACGAAACATTGTCGTAAAACGAAGTAAGTCAATGGCAGTTGTTTATTGGAAAAATCAGGAATTTGTCGGTCTAAAAGGTTTGAGAATCGGTATTTTGAAGGAGATGAATGAGTTCAAATTTATGTACACATGAAAGGGTTTAGGGTTGAAATTACCATCAAAGTTAAAATGCCTGAAAAAGTTAACACTTTTAGCTTTCACGTCGATCGGTTATGGAGTCTTGGTTATCAGAATATCTACTAAATTCCTAAATTGTCCTAAATCTTTGTTCGCTTTTTTCGCAAAAAAATCCCATTTGGGGTTATCCATATAAAAAATCCTGAAACTCAACCTTTACAAACCCGAATTCATACCGCTCAATATCCTTAACTCAAAAACAACAAACCAAATGTTTGTTTAGAACATATTAGTGGGTTATACTAGCATCTGTATGCCCTCTGTCTATAATACCTAACATCCCATCTTCTTTTGGTAGAACTATTGCAAAGTTCTAATTATTTCAAATTTAAATCCACAACAGCTGATCCAACCACATTTTCGAATAAGTGAAATAAAATCTAGTTCTTGATTTTATTCCTCACATCAGTAACTTGTCCCCAAATACTAGATTTTCTACTAATTTCTGTATTGCGGTTCGACTAGTTCCTTCACGACGATCCAAAATTGTTTTTGCTTGGCGGGTTTGAAGCGTAATGGCAAAATAAAACATTTTCAGCATGAGCCTGGCTGGGAGCAGAACACACGTCCTCGTCAACCAACGGAAAGTGTTACCGGCGTCTTAGCGTTTTAATCTACAACACGCTTATAAAACTTCCCAATAGCATCTAATATGCCTGTTGAGCCACTTAACCAAATGGGACTTCGCTAGATTCCAAATTTCAGTGTCATGTTATCAAAAGCTCAACTCGAATGGGAAAATTATCGAAAATATTTTAGATTTTCCATGCAGATTTTCTTACAGACGTTGAGATCTTTGCAAGTCCTTCAAATCGAAAGTTGCCTCTGTAATTTAGTCCATTATTTATGCCTCATTTAATTGACCTCATTGTCATGAAAAGAAATTTGCAGCTAACCAAATAGCTGTTCAGACATCCAAGCATTTGATACCCGAACCGTAAACCTTGAATCCTGTACAAGTGTTGGTTATCAGCAGGTAGTCCATATATTTGAGGACCTTTCCACTATAAAAGTTTAGAGTTCAATTCATGATCCACCAAACAAATATTGTTTTCTATTAATTTTTATACCCTTGAAAATGCGCCATGTAGGTCCAAGTTTTGGTGTAACCCCCATATAATGGTACCTCCCAATTGTCGGTATTTTGGTTATTTAAGCGACATTATTCACCGGAAATGTTTCAAATTTGGTATTTCAAGTTCGTAATGTATACTGCAGTCTATGACAGAAATTTGTCTGTACAGGTTCACGTCTTCGTATAGCCCCCATATAACGGTATTCGCTATTTTGATGATATTAGCGACATTATTTACCAGATTTTTTTTTTAAATTTGGTATTTTAAGTTCCTAATGAATACTACAGCCTAAGACAGAAAATTGTCTGTACAGTTCGACGTCTTCTTATAGCCCCCATATAATGGTACCGCCAAATATTCGGTATTTTGATGATTTTAGCGACATTAATAACCGGAATTGTTTCAAATTGGGTATTTGAAGTTCGTTATGAATACTACAGCCTAAAACAGAAAATTGTCTGTACAGGTCCACGTCTTCTTATAGCCCCCATATAATGGTACCTCCAAATATTCGGTATTTTGATGTTATTAAAAACATTATTCACCAGTATTCTTTCAAATTCGGTATTTGAAGTTCGTAATGAATACTGCAGCCTGTGACAGAAATTTGTCTGTGCAGGTCCACGTATTTTATAGCCCCCATATAATGGTTCCCTATATTTGGTATTTTGATGACTTTAATGACATTATTCATCGGAATTGTTTCAAATTTGGTATTTGAAGTGCGTAATGGATACTGCTGTCTAAGGCAAAAAATTGTCTGTACAGGTCCACATTTTAGTATAGCCCTCCCTATATAGCCCTAGTACCTCCCTATATTGATGATTTAACTACATTATTCATCGATTTATTTTCAAGTTTCGCATTTGAATATTGTAATGGCTTATAACAAAAGTTGCCTAGCCGTCTATTAGACCCTAATATAACGGCTACATTTGGTATTTTTTAGATTTTAACAGAATGTTTAACTGATTTTATTTTTTTGAAAATTACCAAATTCGTTCCAAATGGTGGAAGGTATTCATATTCGGCCGGGCCGAACTTACAGCTTTTTTACTTGTTATTTTTAAAATATTTAATTCAACTATTCGTATTTTTTATTTCAGGTAAAAGGAAAGACTTTTTTTTTTGGATGAGTTGAAAACTTTGCAAAAGAACAACAACAACTAACATAAATGTGAATGGAATAAATTATGAGATGCAAGCAAAACAAATCTAATTACATATTCGTTTATTTTACAATATACATACAAACTTATATTATTTATCATTTTCAAACAAGATTATTTTATAAGGTTCACAACATCAAAATTTACCACTCCACTGGAAGTGAATTAATTATTTAAAAGAGCAAAATTAAAGAAAAATTGTTAATTACAGAACCTCATCTTAACAAAACCTGTAGAACATAAGCAATACTTAAATATTTAGATTTACATGCAAAAGCAAAACAACAAGGTTTTAAGAAAACATAAATTTAAGGAATAACAGTGCCTAACATTACAGCAACAAAAACAAAAATAAAAAAGTAATAAGAATTTTTTTTCGAAAGTTTTCGATTTGTTTAATAAAAAATACCTACAAATTACATACAAATTAGATTTGGCTAGAACAAACATGACTAAGAAGAAGCCTTGTTTGGTGGCAAAATGTTATGGAAAACAAAATAAAAATTTATACAAATACCAATATATATTTATAGTTAAACATATATTTTGAAAACAAATGTTAGCAGGTTACAGAAAAGGCCTCCATAGTATAGTCATTAGTGGTTAAGTATTAAAAGATATATAACATAAACTTATGTATTTACTTTATTTAAAAACAAAATTTAAAAAAAGGAAACATCAACAACAAATTGAAAAAAAAAAACACTGAACAAATCATACAATGATTTCATATATTATAATTATTAAAATAAGAGATAACTAATTTCTTTATATATAGAAAACTATAACATGTATACATGATATACTTATTTATAGTATATCAACTAGAATTAAACAATATTCATATATGTATATGTTACACAAGACGTTATTTGTTTAAAATTTCTTTAATTAACTCTCTTTTTCTTGCTTAAGTTTTCATATATTTTATTTATATAAATATTACATATATCAATTATTATTTCAATATATTTTAGGATTTTATAAACATATTACTCTTTTTGTTAATACACACACAACCACACATTTACATATTTTGAAAAAAGCAAAAAAAATAAATTCACCACACATATTAATATGTTTATATTTTAAGAGTTTTAATTGTTTATTAAAAAAAGAGAAATGAAATGAAATCAATCAAAAATGAACACACAGATTTATTAGTTTAACAAGAAGAACAGTAATTTATGAAATTATGAAAGAATAAAATACACGTTTTTATTTTTAAATCAAACAAATTTGCTTTATATTTAAAAAAGAAACGATAGAAATGTTTATATTTGTGCACACGTCAGGTGCGTAGTTATGGAAAAGTAATCGTTAAAAAGGAAAAATCTTAAAGAGCCGATGTTCGATTAAAGTAAATTGACTAATAAAGAATCAGAGACAATGTAGCCTTTTTGTGAAATTATGGATGTCGAAGGGTTCCGTGTCTGAATGCACACTAAGATCATGAGTCGAAAGTTCACCCAATGCTCGTAGTTTTTTCTTTCAGCAGGAAAGTGACACAGTCCATGAAGGAAAACCAAACCCAGTATCAATTTTCAGCCCGCTGAGGCAAAGCCCAATAAGAAAATATCAGGATCAAGGGATCTATTGTTTTACAAAATTGCCAACAATGATATGTTCCAGAAACTGCAAGAATCTACTAGCTTTGCAATTTGTTTCGATATCATAAGAAAAAAATGGCTATCGTAGTAAAAAAATTACATTCTTGCAGTTCTGGAACAAAGCAAATATGAAGCTAAAAAATGTTAACTGTTGTTTACAAAAAAAGTTAAAATATTCTCCATTTTGGATTTTAAGTTAGAAACAGATTAATCAGTAAGAATGCAGAAGTACGTGCTACTGCAACAACAACAATTATTAAAGGCAATTGATCACCAGACAAAGATATATAACAGGACTTTTATTCAATAGCACTGTGCAACAAATTTTTTTTCAATAATTACAGTGAAAATCCTGCAGATTATGAAAGTAAAAATAAATTCGCTCATCTTCCACACATTTATGGAAATTTTCGGATTAAGATTCCTCGAAATCTTCCGTGCATTTTCGGTATATAGTGTCGTCGGGAATATTGCAGAGGAAAATTTGGGTAGAAAATTGTAACCCACAAGAGAGTCAATTTTTATTTTATTTTTGATCAAATTATTCTCGGCTTGTTTCCGAGTTGACGCCTGAAAGTAACTTAACATTTCATTTTAGGCAAAAGGTGTCAAAAGAAAAAATATTCTACACAAAATGTCACTACAAATCTCTGAATTAACTATATATCAGAACAAAGGTTTTTGAGAAAATTACATTCAAAATATACGTCCTGCAAGTGAAATTTATGTTTTTTTAACAAATTTACTTTCACTGTTTATTTAACAAGTTTCCAATCCGAGTAAAAAATTTCCTTTATAGTTAATTTTAAGGGGAAAGTGTCAAAGGAAGAATTATTCTAGATCAAATTTCATTGTTAGTCTCGGAACAAAAGAAATTTGTAGACTCAATATGTACCACGAAAAAATATCAAGTTTTGTCAATCCTCGTTTATTTCTCAAAATGTTGACATTTTTTTTCAAATTTGCTGAAAATACTTTTATAATTACACATAATTAAACAGCCAATTCAGGTTGTGGACAATTCCAAGTGGATTTAACAGAACTCGTTTGTAGATCAAAAGCCCAACGAGGTTTTGGGTTTTAGGCCAAAAGTTGTTAAGGCCTTCATAACCTTTTGACTGTAGACAAAGGGACTACTATAGTTTGAGATATATTTCGCAATATTTAAGATAGAGCTTTAAAATTTGATAAAGATCTGAGGAATACATCCAGAATCATTGGTACAGAAAATGTGTCATATCGGTCGACTTTATGAAATATTTCCATCTAAGACTAACTCAGATTTCAAGGTTATTTTCGTTTCGGCCATGATTTTATTTAATTTCACCAAATTATGGCATTTTGAGTTCTTATTGATTAAATGATCAATAAAGGTCCACCTTTTGATACATATGACCAGTCTTGACCATATATTCCATATTTGTTGATATGTTTGGCCTGTCGATTTTATATATAAACAGGATATACCTGACCAAATTTGTTTTGATATCTTGCACCGTGGTCTCCCTAAAGAGTAATTGTTATTGTCTGTTGAATTGAAAATAGGGGATTTTAGGTCTTTTGACTGCGAGCATATTCTTGTCAATTCGTCGGCTTTCTCATTTCCTTCAATATTACAATGATCAGGTACCCAGCAAAGCCGGATAGCAGTATACAGGACTGTATCAGAATTGATTTTGGAGATTTAATAGCTTTTAGAGCCGATTAGAAAGTCCAACAAGCTGGCATGGGCCTGTCGTGATAATACATTTTTGACTGGTTCATGACTAAATAATTAAAAAGCGAAAACTGATTGAAAGTCCAACATTTCTTTTAAAATCAAGATCAAAATATCTTTAACTCGTTACACCTTTTTATACACTCCATCATTCTATGGAGGGTATATTAACTTTATCATTCCGTTTGTAACTCCTCGAAATATTCATAATAGACCCTACAAAGTATATATATATTCGGGATCAGCGTAAAATTCTTAGACAATCTAGCGATGTCCGTCTGTCTGTCTGTTGTAATCACGCTATCTTTCGAACGAATTGAGATAGAAGGCTAACATTTTGCATACATGCATAGTTTACCAGTAGTCAGGTTAAGTTCGTAAATGGGCCATGTCGGTCACGTTTTTGTATAGCCCCCATATAACGGTACCTCCCGATATTCAGTATTTTGATGATTTCAGCAATATTTTTCACCGGCATCCTTTTAAATTTCGTACTGGAAGATACTAATGGGTACTACAGCCTATGGCAAACATTTTTGTATGCAGGTTAAGATCTTCGTATATCCCCCATATAACGGTAACTCCCGATATTCGGTATTTTCATGATTTCAGCAACATTATTCGCCGGAATCGTTTCAAATTTCGTACTGCAAAATCCTAATGGGTACAACAGCCTATGATAAAAGTTTTTGTATGCAGGTCCAAGTCTTCGTATAGTCTCCATATAACGGTTTTCATTTATGTGGTAGTTTTCTTTTTTTTTTTTTTTTTTTTGAAAATTTTCAATTTCATCGAAATGGTGGAGGGAATTAAAAGTTCGGCCCTGCCGAACTTAGCTTCTTTTTTACTTGTTATCACTCTAAAATGGACATACAGAAATTCATTTTCATCGAACACTTTTCGATATCGAATGCAAAAATTTGACCCTGAATTTGTAAACAACTTTGATGCATTTTATTCCATATTTGATTTATGATTGAAAATTCTACGAAATCCTGTTTTTTTACTCATATCATATTTGGTATTTTTTTAAATATTTTAATTTAAACTGTCAGGCTAAAAATATATTTTTGGCTTGTGGTTATACAGCTAATATGTTTTTTTATGATTCTGAAATTTTAATTCAAATAACGTATTTTTCAACATTCTCAACATAAATTTATATATTTTGTATGTATATAATACACAAGAGAATTTAGAATATATAAAATAAACTATAAACAGAAATGAAATAAATCAGGTTAAACAAAACAATTAAAAAAAAACACAGTTAAAAGGGTAGATTGAGCAAGGACAATTGTTATATACATAGATACAATATGGTATAATATAAGATATATAATTAGTTTTAACAAAAATTATTAAAAAATGCAATCAAAAATCTTATTGAACATTTTCATGTTAAGTTTTGGATTCAAACAAATATTAAAAAAAAACACTGTTATAGAAGTAATAATCAAAAATATGTTTATCCTGGAAAATAAGTTAAAATCGCCGAACATTTTTTATTGGTCAACAACAACAAAAAATTGTTTATTCGAAATAGAAATTTAAAAACAACCTTTCCAAAAATATGCTCGTACAAAGAGAACTCCCAAAGCCTTGAAAAAAAAAATACAGAGAAAATAAAATTTTCGTAATAAAAAAGAATTTAAATATTGTTTCAATTTAAAATTAGAGATTGAAGGAGAAATGGGAAGCCGGGTGCCTTGGCGTCCCTGATTATGAAATATAAATATGTATTTCTTTTCACTAAGCAATGCCCACCACATGAACTATTTTCCCATAATGCATTTTTCAGTCGTTACAACTTTAGGTTTTTGGTTGCGTGCAATCGAAATAACTTTATTTGAAAAAGAAAACAAGAAAAAAAGCAGCTAAGTTCGGCCGGGTCGAACTTTTTATACCCTACACCATCCGAAGGAACTTGAACATTTTGAAAAAAAAAATAATAATTCTTCGAAAAATTCGACTCAAATAAAAATCTTTATATAAGGGCTATACGAAGACGTGGTGCTAGATAAGTTATTTTCTGTCACAGGCGGTAGTACCGATTCCGAAATTTAATACGAAAGACGTGGACCTGCATAGACAATTTTGTGTTATAGGTTGTACTATCCATTACGAACTTTAAATACGAAGTTCCGGTGAACATTATTCACCTGGCAATAGCGAATATCTCGGGGTAGTGTTATATGGGTGCTATACTAAAATGTAGACCTATATAGACAACTAGTTGAACCCGGTGCGCTTCGCTACCCCTCTAGATTTTATATAGGAACAACAAAATTATTGCATTAACATAACAGGACCAGCTGATCATGAGAAAAGCAGGAACATGCCAAATTTAGGCCGCATTACGAAGGACTTGTCCTTCGGATTTATTAATTTCATAGCAAATGCCAAGCGTGCAGGAAATTGCAACATTTAGAAGTTGAGTGGCCTTTCTGTTGCTATTAGAAAATTCGAGGTAGCAACATACTTCCCCGTAATAATCATATCCTCAATTACATTGTTGTGTAATTTTTTACCTTATACCATTACAAAGGCTTATTGGATCAGTGCATCTTAATAAAATCATATCCCAATCTGAACCGACTTCAACTTTTACACCAAATTCTGTCACACCTTCCATATTTCATTGAAATTGGTGCATCAAAGATGTGAAATCGGCCGAGAATATATATGGGAGCTATACCCAAAACTTTGGCAAATTTATTTGTGTACCAAATTTAGTCACTCATGCTGAATTTCATTGGAGATCGGTCGAAAATATGTATGGGAGCTATATCCAAATCTGAACCACTTTTAATATAATTTGACTCATATATTTTCTGATCAAAATCCCGTCACAAATTCCAAGTTTCATTGGAATCGAACATACGGATCGAAAATATGCATCAAATATGTAAAATCGGCCGAAAATATATATGGGAGCTATATATTCTAATCTGAACCGATTTCAATATAATTTGGCAAATTTATTTTTGTTTCAAAATCCGTTATGCATTCCAAATTTGGAGACTGTAAATGTAATCGATCAATAGATATGTGCATATAAAATCTAATTTTTTGGGAGGTACCTCCAAATCCAATGCTATATCTCCAGTTCCAAGTGGAATTTCAAAAATTTTATAGCGTATGTTACTTTCAGGCGAATTTGTAGTATACTTGCAAATTTTCAGGATAATCTGTTCAGCGGTTATCGAGTCCATAAATTTAAAAAAACAAACATACAAACAATTTTCCTCTTTTATAGATATAGATTCTCTTTCAGGGAATAAAGTACTCACCGAGAACTCCTTGGGTAGAGTTTCAGACATTCCATTTGAAAATGTGGCTAAAATTATCAAAATACCGAATATCGGGAGGTACACTTATATGGCAGATATACAATATCGTAGGGCTATATAGACAATATTTTTCAGGCGTTAAAGTAGTCACGAAGAACTCCTTGTGTAGAATTTCAGACAATTCCATTGAAATATGTGGTTGAATCCTCAAAATATCCAATACCGGGGGTATCGTAACATAGTGGGCCTATGCGATATCGTGGACCTATATACACAATTCTCTTGCAAGTAGTAAAGTACCTACAAAGAATTTCAGACAATTCCATTGAAAAATGTGGCCAAAATCATCAAAATACCGAATATCGGGGGGTATCGTTATATGAAGGTTATACGATATCGTGGACCGATTAAGCCCATCTTCGAACTTGACCTGCCTACACATAAAAGACTGATCTGTGCTTCCTATCTTAATTCGTTTTGACTCTAGCGTGAGTACAACAGACGGACAGACTAAATCGTCTTAGAATTTTACACTGATCAACTTTGTTGGGTCTAAAATGACGAACTTAATATGTATGATGGAGGGTATAAAAAACAGAAGATTTTTTGCCCCTGCTGGTTGCAGCCGTGGATGGTAGGAAAAAGAACCGGAAAGGATACAATACTAATGACAATGTTGGGTAATGTTGGGTAAAGCTGCTTTTCACAAAGTGCTGACTGTTGGCAAAATAAATGGTCATACAAACAAAGGAATAAAGACTAAGAGTGCAATTGATTTGTTTAGTTTAAAGACTCTAATAGTAGTTATGAAGTTGGCGTTCTAACATATTTGGTCTGTTCCAGAACTGCAAGAATGTAAAACTTTTTACTACTATAACCTATTTTCCTGCAGGTTGTGGAACAGAGCATTTGTAAGTTTTATTATATGTGTGTAGGTAGTAGTGTATTGTTATGTTAATGTTCGAGTCAAAACATAGGCTGAGGGTATACATCTGTTGTTTTTTGTTTTTTCTTAACAATAAATACATACACAAAATTGGCAGAAGTCGGGCATACGTAATTAGCTGGTAGCTCCACTTTACCTTTTTATTGTAACAAGGTTTTGACTATTCTATTACTTCGTTCTCTACACATCGATAATTATAAACAAAGTTAATTTGTCATGTTAAAAAAAATTAAATTAAGAAACAATTTGTTGCTGCTATAGGTAGTCCCATTATTTAGTTGAAATGAGCACTTTTATTATTGTTTGTTGATATCATCGCTGGCATCGTCATCGTTTTAATGCATATGACAGCAGAACAAAATATCAGTAACATTATCGTCATCTACATTGTCGCCATTAATTTAAATGGTGTTCACTTTAATTTGCCCAGTGATAACAGCTAATTGAATACTGAAATTAAATGAAAAATAATAACAACAGCAACAATGCAGCAACAAAAATATATTTTCAATAAACAAAATGTATATCATGGTAGAAATACCAGGTAGCAACATAGGCGAAAATTACAACAAAGCAACTTTTTTGGAAACTTGTTATGTCAAAGTTGTAGTCAGGGCGAATTGATTTGAAGTACAAAATTTGGGGCAAATTATTTTTCCAATCAAAATATTGAATTAAAAATTTCCAAAATTGTTGTTTTTTCTATTACAAAAGCAAACATTCAAAACTTCCATCATCGATTGAAAGTAATGCTGAAGCCGCTGCACCTTGGTTTGATTATAGCACGTTCAATACAACATTTTTGAAAATCACAGAGACTGGAAATGGAGTGATCGTAGTCTCCAGCGCGCCAACGAAGGGCATTTGCGATAATAGATGTCCAATCGTTGTTATCTCTTCATCATCCTTACACAGCATGCAGTCTTGGTAACGTTGGCAACGTTTATTTCATATTCAACAGCGATAATGTTCTTTACAAGAAAATATCCGAAAAATTAGTTTTGATGCTTTAAAATTAGGTTTTGTCGTGGTTCTGGGGTGTAGCCTTTTTTCTTTTGCTACATCATCAGCTTTCTCGCTGTAGTGACATGCTACCTAAAAGGTACTTTAGGGTATATTTACTCCTCAGGCTTACTTAAGATTTGGATCAACGATTGCAGAAGATACAGGGGGCTGAGTCTACTGTGAGTCCACGCATATTATTTGCTTAGCTATGAAATGTATAGCAGACAGGAAGTCTTTAATGTATAGATAACTTTAATACATTCGAGCAATTTGAAATAAAAAAATCTCAATATTTAATCACACCCCAAAAATTGCCAATGTTTTGTTCCCCAAACCAATCCAATATGCTTTGGAATCATTTACCTTTCACTGTTGAAGCCCTGTAGTGTATAACATAGTTGTAAATCCGTACAAATAAGATGATGAAATTCCATGTATCGGTTTATTTCCTATATGAAATTAATTCCCTGTTTCACTTATTTCAAATATCCACGAATTTCAGATCTCCATATTACCTATGCCTAACATTTGTTGAATATACACTTTTTCCCTCATACTCTATAAAAACGTAAAATCTCGATTTTCTATCAATAGCATTGTTAAAGTTTGAAATCATGCAACAATTTTCTTATGTGTAAATGAAGGCGAATTCAAATTACAACAATTTTTTGACATATCAAATTGATACCAGCTGGCCTGAAAGGGTTACCTTGTAATTCTACCATGATGTATATATAATTCTCCAAACATTCAGTGTTTTATTTCGATTTTTCTTACATCTTTGGAAATGAAAATTTGACTTGAATAAAAACAAGTAAAAAAGCGGCTAAGTTCGGCCGGGCCTAACTTTTAATGCCCACCTCCATTTGGAAGGAACTTGGAAATTTTTAAAAAACTTCCGAAAACTACCACTTAAATGAAAACTATTATATGGAGACTATACGGAAATATGAATCTGCTTACGAAATTTTTTGTCATAGGCTGTAGTACCCATTACGAACTTCAAATACGAAATTTGAAA